GGGAGCCAGAAGAGGTTCTTCTATGCCATCATTCTAAAGAAACGTTTTTGGCACCTTTGATTCTTTGGGTTCAAAGGGAGGACAACATCCACACATAAGCACACTTTTAAAAAAGACGGTTCTTCAAGGGTTCTTCAGTAAAGACAATGGCTCTGTATAGAACCATGAATACTCAAAGGAACATTTACATGAGAAAATGATTCTTTGCATGGTGAAATGGTTCTCCAGATTGACGTAGAATGTGTTGTATATGATTCTATGTAGAATCTTTATGAAATGGGTTCTATGTAGCACCAAAAACGGTTCTGCTGTTGTTATATCAAGATTGTAACAATAGAAGAGATTTTTTCTGGTGCTATATAGAACCCTTTCCAAAAAGGTATACCCCTGAAGAAACATCTTTTTCGTAAAGTGTACACTTTTAAAAATAAAGGCTACTAAATGGGTCTTTCTATGGATGTTTGGTTCTATGAAAAACCTCCAATCAGTATACACTAAAAAAAGATACCACAAAGGGTTCTCTGCTGAAACCATAAAAGAAGCACTTTTAGTTCCCCAAAGAAACATCTTTGAAAAAGAGACTTATGAGTGTGAAGAACATTTTACAGGCTTAAAGAATCTTCACAAAATGTAAAGGTCCTTCACCAAATTAAAGCTTCTTCCTAGAACCTTTATATTATGTAGATGTTCTTTAAACTACAACAGCTTCTTCATGCTTGCACACCTCATTTACAAAATTGGTTGCCTAAAGAACCACACACTGAAAGATTCTTTATAGACCGAAAAGTGGTACATCTATTGCAGCATGTAATGAACCCTAAAGAACCCTTTATTTTGAAGAATGTAGAACTACATTATGTGCAGATTCTTTAATCTTTGTAAAGGTATCCCACACTCAAATGACGCATGTAATTTACAAAAGTGGTTCTTTACATATCCATCTTTTGAAAGTTTTTTGGGGAACCAAAAGTGGTTCTTCAGCGGCATTACTCCAATGAATCCTTTTTGAATTCTTTATTTTAAGAGTTTGGAGAACGATATCCCTTATTACACTCTTTCAAATAAAGGTTCCTGAATGGTTCTTGGCTTGTACATATGGTTCTAGGCTGAACTTTCAATAGGTATAGAACCTTTAAATTATACTTTTTTTAGTCCCTCCATTGGACAGTTGTTTAAGGAGCCAAAAATAGTTCTTCTATGGAATCCCTCCAACGAACTTTAGTTTTGGTTTAGAAAAGGAGAAAAACATCTCTTCACAACACACTTAAAACAAATGTTCCTCAATGTTTCTTGCCTTGGATGTATTGTTCTGGGTAAACCTGCAATTGGTATAGAACCTTACACTATGTGTTCTTTGAACTTTAAAAAGGTTCTTCACTCTCACATACCTCATTTCAACAATGGTTCTTTGAAGGACCTACTGAAAGTTTCTTTAAGGAACCTAAAGTGTTTCTTATACAGCATCATTCTGTAGAACCAGGGCAGATTAGATTCAAATCTTGCTTTGCCTGTAGCAGCACAGCTGCAGCACAGGGCGGATTCTCTCAATGTCAAGTGACTCCTCGACCACTGAAGAAGCACATGAAGGCCGCCTGTATCTTAAGCATGCAAAGAGAGTGCAAGATGATCCTGACCTAATTTCCTGAAGATATGACAGGGCTATTAATAAGATAATGGCAGCTTGAGTGGAGCTAATTGCTCCTCTCCGTTTTATAGTGCACACATTGTTAAGGAGCACATGTAGCTGTGTGAGGAGAGCATGTGACAGCGCATAAGAAAGCGTGTGCCGTAGCGAGACATATCCCTAGGCTCATTGGTATTCTGTAAGGAGACAGTCTTGTGGGTTTCAAGTACTCTCTCTCTCTCTTTCTTCCTCTGTCTGCCTGTCTCTCTCACTCTTCTTTGCTTTAACTATGCTGTATCTATCTGTACATGACTATGTAGCTGTAACAGCCACAAGTATAAATGAACACTTCATCATAGTGATTATCATAAAGGCAAAATTTGCATCACTAGTTACAAAACCCATAGCCACTTTGCGGCCTGAATAAAACATTTTTGGAATTCTTTATTACTTCCTATATAAAATGCAAATTGAATTTTCAAGCATGCCACCCTCCCCTGTGAATGCTCACATGCAAAATCAGCACATTCACTGAACACTCACGTATTTAAATTCACTTCAATGTTCACTGCATAATGCCCATGACTGTTTTTTGATCTTTAATGTGTAGCGAGCATTAATTAATTATGAATTTCATGCAGCATATTGCAGCTATATGCTCACACACTCAGCAAAAAAGGAAAAAGAACATGCAGTTTTTTATAGGCCTCTAAGAGAGCAGCAGAACCATATGTGGGGCAAGCACATTGCTGAAGACCCATCTCACTTCCGATGGACCTGTAAAGAAAATGAATAAATGTATTATTATTTTTCAGAAGGCACAAAAGCTAACCCTACTGATACTTTGCTGTGCTGGCATTTTCAACAAAACAGTGCTTATGTCAGCACACCTTTTGTTTATTTTCCATTGTTTTGCATGCCTTTATGTAGACCCTCTGAGAAATCAAACCCTCACTGATCATTCTGTGACTTATTGTGAAGTTATTAATCTTAAGACTTATTGTTCAATAACTGCTATGGAATTACTCTAAGTAATTAGAATAGGAATTGCAGTGTGCACCCACATACAGGTCCATGGAGTTAAACAGGATAATAAATAAATATATACATTAAAATTATATATATATATATATATATATATATATATATATATATATATATATATATATATATATGGTTAAATATATTTATCAGAATCGTTTACAATGCTTTTACTGTAGTTATAAAATGACAGTACAAAAGTGATCAATACAACATGACAGTAAAAGCCTGTGACAAAAAACGTTAAAAAGACATGAAGTCAAAAGTAACATAGTTGAGTTTTGCAGAATTTTTTTTACTAAATTTCAAATGAAAACTTATTTTTAAAAAATTAAAGGAATTTAATAAAGTCACAAATAAACACATTTTAAAAAGGTCCTTTTCTATTTGCATACTCTACATGTCCAAAATCGCATAAACACCTGCTCATCCAGTGTTTCTCAAAAGTAGTACTAGTGAGATGATCCTCTCTTTGCTGCAGTAACAGCCTCTACTCTAGGCTTTAAACTAGCTGTGTGAACACAGGGTTGGGATGTAATGGAATACAGGTATTGGAAATACATCAGAACACAGTTATTCTGCACAGTTATTCTGAACATAGTTCTTCTAAATTACACAATTTTACTCAGCCCAAGTTACATTTTGTAATGGCTATTTTCAGAATACAGTTACTTTTTATAGTTTTAGAAGAATTCTCTTAGAACACTTTCCAACCATGGCAAGGTTTCAGGAGATGGAAAAAAAACCTCCATTACTCAAAATGGAAGTCAAGACAAATTTTTCCATGTAATTTTGAAGCATTTCTACAGGCCCATTCATTGTGAAATTTTCAAACACTGTAAAGGGCAGCTGGTGTTACCAAATTATATAATAATAAAAACAAAAAATGACAAAAATGGAGATGCCAGGTTTTGTCCTGATAGCAACAAAATGAAGAATGGCTCCTTTTTGAAGGATACAGTGATACAGTGCAGGGCCCAGATTCACAAAACTCTCCTAAGCAAAACACGTACAAAGGATTTTAAGACAAAAACAATTAAGAGTGTTCTTAAATGCAATTTTCAAAAAAACAAAAGAGAAAACTCCTTAAGAGGTTTTTAAATGTTCTCTTGAGAAATCTTTATATATTTTTGATATGGAGGCTATAGGTCGGTTTATAGTGTGGCCTACCCACATTATGCTAAATTTGTTCAATTGTTAAATTATGTCAAAAACACTGTCAGATACATTTTGAATTTGAATCTAAATTTATTTGTATTAACCAGTTATTAAATTGAATCTACTTAGCACTCAATGACAGCGTTAGATGTTACAGTTTTAGTGGCTTACCTTGTTAACTCTTACAGTCTAAAGGCCTGTTCACACCAATTTTTGGACAAAAAAAAAAACAGATGCGATTTGTAACGTAGGGTGACCTTCACACTAAGTCTGAGAGTTGTTTTGTCTAAACTCTCTGAAAACGTGGGAAGAAGATGGAAGAAAAAAAAGAAAACGATTTTTTGAGTGGCAGCGAGGATTCATTAACTGCTTTTCTTTTAAGACACCAACATGGGGAGGTTCGCTTCATACAAGCCGTATGGCGACTGATTCTAAAGGTATTTTCGTATGTTTGTGGGAATTTGGGGCTCTGCTTCTACTTGTTGCTCCTCTTATTAAAAAGGATCATTGATCAGTGAGGAACGCTCATATTTCGCAGTTCTTCGTGGGAATGAACAGACTAGGATGCACCTAGATAAACTGAAAAACGACCTTACAGAGTTGCTATAGCGTACTCACCACCATTCTCCAGCCTTTCAGCTGTGGGCAGGCATATTTTTCCTTAACCTCTGCATTTTTATAGACAGTTTATCATAGCTCGTCTTATTAGCTTTTGTGCTCTGCTAAGCCACTCCGACATGTTGATGCATGCTTGTTTGAGTTGCAACCATGACAACGAAGCTCTGATTGGATTGGTCAGCCTGACTTTTAATGCAACGGTAACAACAGAGAAAATCAAGCAGGCTCTGATTAAAAATGTACACAGCATCGATGTCCATCACTTTAATACTCGACGTGAAAGATGATATGGATTATCTTGGTTTTCAAAACTTTCTGTAAAAATTGGACTAGGTGTGTATAGGCCTTGAGGCTAGTGTCAGGCTAAGGTTAAAATTATGAAAGAATTACATTTTTTCCTAACTTTCCATGTTTTCTTAAGCATGCAGTTAAGAAAATAGCACGTGTAAAGAAGGAGGGTCTTTCTTGCCCCTGAATAGTAGGATTTGTAGCCGTTCGGCCACTGCGCATGCGCGGGCGCTGCTCGGAGTTCCCCCTGAAATGGGCCCCGGCTACTCAGCGCGGTAGATAGTGGGTCGGACTGAGCGCACTACGAGCAGACTGGATGGAGCTGAGTGAAGTGGAGACTTCAGCCCTGCTAGTAAGTGCGTTTTGACAGCGGAATTCAAGGCTTGCGGTGGTTCCTGCTGGATTCAACTCTCCGTCAAGTCTCGTGAGGAGCGTGTTGCTATCTGCTCGGAACGCTAGCTGGCATGAGCTAACATGGAAACCAAACCTTTCTTGTCTTTAGGTAAGTTTGGCTTTCGGGAAATGTGGTTTCCATTAACGATATCTGGACAGTATAATGTCATGAGGGGCTGTTTTTGCATGAGGCTGGACCCTCAAACACTTCAAACAGTTTGGCTTGGTTTGTTACAGAGAAGTGCTACATGAGCTCTGAGGACGTTGTGAGACTTGTCGTATTCTCTTAAGCAGTTTGTGCTAACGTTAAATGTTGACGTTTGTCTCTACGTTCACATTTTCATACTCTTATACCATTTCAATTTACCTTTACTCAGTGTCGAAACGAGGCTGAAGTCAGCTTCTTATTCGCCAGCTTCTTGTTCGAATTTCCCCGTTCCACCTTAAATGGTGCAGCAGTTACGGGCGCCAGAATGTAAGCGCTGCAGCATTTAAGGTGGAACGGGAAAATTCAAACTAGAAGCTGGCGAATAAGAAGCTGACTTAAGCTTCATGTGACGAGAAGCATTATGATGATGATGATGATGATGATGATGATGATATTATGATTATTATTATTATTATTATTATTATTATTGTTGTTGTTTTAGGCTTTTTTGATTCGCCTCGTTCTTGGTCTGATGTTGCTTGGTAACTTGGCGATGTCTCTGTGTGAGATTTGAAGTTTACCGTACTCTTCTCTTAAGATTTGTCACTCCATTCCTCCAAAACACGCTTCAGTTCTTCTCTAAAACGTCCGGGCTACTGTAAGGTTACTGTGTTGATGGGACTGGTTGGTGGAGAAGAGGAAAGTCTCCTCCAGTCCTCCGAGCTGAGTGAGAGTTTTCAGCTGTAACACTGTGTTCTCCAGCGATCATCAGCAGGCCTGGCTGTGGTAATAATCGTTGAACAAACGCCAGCTGCTTCAAAGGAGTGGATCGAGACTTGATAAGCAGTCGTTGTCGATGATACGGGGTGCTTGTAATCAGTAAAGCAGTTCAAATTTTGGTAATGAATTGGACAAATGCTCCTCAGTTTGCTTTACAGCGTGGTCTGGACAGGTTTAAAATGAACTGCAGTTAGATTTAGAAAGTGCCTTTTATCATTTTATTATATTCTACCAATAAAAGTGCAGTGATTTATATTAAAAAATGACATCTGTCATTAATTTCTGTGTAATTACTGAGCAGCTTTGCTAACATTTTGTCTCTGTTGTAGTTAACTAGACCTTGTATTTCAGAAATTATAACTTTACAGGAGAAGACAATAAGAGGATTAACTCTCAATGTATATCCATGTAACAGGTCATTTTGGTCCATTTCCATTGGTCATGAAATGTTCATACAATGTACAGGGCAGCTGACACTTTTAAAATAATAATAAAAAAAGTGATTTATTACATTATTATTCTTATAATGTTATCATAGGGCTGGGCAATATGACAATATTTATCATTATGGTGATGAATTATGTTACAATAGGCTAAATGCTTTTCTGAGTATATTGTGGATATCATCAGTACTTAAACACACGTCTCAGCTGCGTGTTTGATTATAAAAAGAGTATAATTAGTCCTGTTTAATTGGATTTAGTGCAATTTTATTCATAGTTTTTGGTGCTATGTTTTTTAAATGTGGCACTGTTTTGTCTGTTCTGACTTATCATATGCCAGAAAAAAGAAATATTGTAACATATTATGTATCATGACAACTTTCCTAAGTATTATGGTTTCATATATCATATAGCTTTATTATATATCCTCATATTCTTATACGTCCGTTCTGAGTGTGGAGCTGGCACGTTCTTCAGAGAGATCCAAGTCCATGGGCGTCAGTGGGAAGTATAAGCTCGCATTGTAAGGTCGGAGGTGTTCAGGACCACCCCAATAAAAGAGGACCAGCCTGGTTTACGGCGCTGCAGTTTTGTGTTTCAGAGGAGGTGATTGGTCCCTTTGTGAAAGTCTGCAGCTGTCAGTTTTATTAGGGAGCCTTTAAAGGGAAAGTTAATTGCTTAAAGTGACAGCGTCTCTCAGACACCCCTGAAGCCACTGTCTGGCTCTGTATCAAAGGCTGCGTGGGCTCCTCCTAGACAGGGCTGCACAGACGGGCCAAACTGCACTTGAGAAAGTTGGTTTAAAGTGACACTCACTTTAACACACACACACACACACACACACACACACGAATGCACGCACATAAACTCACACATACACACACACATTTGGGAGAGGGTATGAGCTTGAGTCGTCTCTCGTTTCACTCTTGCACAAACTGTTGCCGCTCAAGAACCTGCACTTGAAGGCTTTTGAATATAATGCAATAGCCCACATAAAGGATTGAAGAGGTTATCTATGATATGCTGAAAAGCTTTTTTGTTAATGATTTGCTCCTTTGCAACTGTATGCACTGATTCATTGATAACACTGAAGTTGCCCCTTGTACTATGGACTGTTGTACTCTCCTAGGCCTGTTACAAAGCAATTGCAAAGCATTGCTAAAAGTAGAACCTTGTGTGATCCAGAACTAGTGCTGGGCAGCGCAGCTAAAATGAAATATCATGATATTTTACAAATGTGTCGCAGTATCAGGTGATGTTTAAAATTGCCTTAATTAAGTTAATGAATTTCCTGCACTGCTACTCTGTGATAAAGGAGTGTCTTTCAAACCTGACATACGGCAGTGTCAGAGATCACTATTCATTTATTTAAATTCCAGTAAAAACACCTATTAATTACAAGTGATTCATTTTTATGAGATATTTTTAAGGAGATTAGGTATAGCATGAGGAAGAAGGAAGGCAAAGAAAGAAAAATTATTATTATCTAGATATTAGATATTAAAAGACACAGAGAAAATGGGACTCCAAAACTGTCACAATGAGAAAAAAAGCATTGAAGGCCTTCATCTTTGAGAGAAAGGAGTAAATCAAGCTCCACTCCTGGTTTAGATCTAAGAAAATCCCCAGGTGTTTCTGTCCATCCTTCCACTGAGAGAAGACAAGTCAGCACTACAGATTTAAAAGGATGTGTAACTGTGCTGTTTCTGAGAAAAAGAAATAAACAAAAAAAGAAGAAAAATTTGAGATGAAACAAAGAAGCTGCTGGTGTTCTCAAAACGATAGACTTGGATTGTGTGAACTTTGGAGGTGTGGAGAAATATCCATGCAGATTTCTTTGAAAAACTGAAAGCAAGCCTCTCAACAAGAATTGAAGCTCTAATAAAGGCAAAGGACAAACACACTAAATACTGAAAACTGTGATATTATATTTAGCTGTTGAAGCTTCTGTGTAATTTACTGTCAAACATATGCTTTCTGCCTTTTTCACTGATGCTGAAAAATGAGTACATTGTACTTAATGGCCATTTTGACTGGAAATTAAATCAATGCAGGGCGGTCTTTGATTTTCATAGTATTATTGCTTGTTGTGTTTGGGCAGTTTTATTCTGCTCTGCTCCTCTTAAACCTTACACAGTATTATAAACATCAACCAGACCGAAATCTGATTTCCAGAAAAGAACAGACTACACTTAACGAAGTGACACGTTGAATTGACCTGCATCATTTGTATATTCATGAAATACAGATGAATTAAATATTTCCATCAGTGTAATAATTGTCAAAAGTTTTCAGCTAAAAGACTAAATCATATTGATAATTTATTTATGTGGAAAAGAAATACACGTCTGAATTAAGTGTATTCTTATCGCTTTTCTCAGTGTATATATTTTATTTTTATGTATTATTAATGTTAATTTTAGGTATGCACTGATTTTGGAATCTGGCTGGAAGATATGTGTATATATGCTGATGCTGTTGGTGATTTGTAAACATTAATAAAATGTAGAAATTAAGACCACAAATACCTGGATTTACATTGTGGAGAAATTTCATGCATATTTTTGTAGTGTTACAAATGCAGTAAATTGAAAGAAATGCAGCTATTTTAGCACAGTTGCCCAGTGTCACCTAAACATTCTGCTCTTCTGGATTACAATAAATACGGCATCAAATATCGTTCTGACCTAAACATCTGTTTGATACCATTAATTTTGTTAACGCGATCATCCGATTCCGAATCAATTCTGATATGATTCTTATACCTTTATGCATCCCCAGTTATAAAGCACACACTTTCCCATACATTGCAGTAAGCTACATTTTTGCTATCTATCGTACTGCTTTGTTATCTGTCAATATTGTAAGTCCAGTATACTGGTATAAACAATATCTCACCAAGCACTATACAAAGTCTCTAAACTCTAAGCTAGTTTTGCAGTTGAAAACTGTAACAGAACAGCCTTAAAAGGTTGTTTTTAGGCTGGTCTTTTCCCATTTCCACTGGTCCTGTAAAGGGGATTATTCATATCTGATCTCCGCTCTGTAATTCACTTTGAGCTAATGGATTTGGCATTTGGAGCCTGGCTTTGAGACAGACTGACAGAATGTACCTCACTGCTCTCATCTGCTCCGTCTGACTTTATGTCAGAGTAAACACTCTGTCGTGTGTGTGTGTGTGCGTGTGCATGTGCGTGTGGTCACTCTGAAGAGGCTTCTGTCTTTACCGTCCTGGCTCTGCTCTGTGCTTTGTCTGGAGTGCATTGGGTCATGGCCAGTGTAATGGCCTAATATGTTTATGTCTGTGTCTATATTTGAGTGATGTTAATGAAAGGAGCAGCTGTCTAATTACCAGGTGCAAACTTATAAGGTTAAATTCTTCATAGTTTGTAAAGACATAACCCTCAACTTTTGGAGGAGTGTGTGTATCCCTAACACAGTTTAGGAAATATTGTTTCCCAGACCCAGATTAAGAATATGCCTGGACTTTTAATGATGAAACGCTGTTGACATTGCAGTTTAGACAAGCCTAGGCTTAATCCTTGTTCATGAAACCCATGGGATCAGGTTTTCTAGACAGGGATTAAGCCTATTCCTGGGCTACATTTTGCTTTAATGGAGAATTTGCATATAAAATGCTGTGTAGTCCAAGACTAGGCTTAAGGCTTGGCAGAAAATTGCCATATTTAAGTATGTTTACTGTAGGGGATGTGTTTTCACAACAAACCATGTAAT